TTACAACAGGCAACAATATAACAATAATTCCAACAACTATAACCCTGGTTGGAGGAATCATCCGGGTTTTTTATGGAATAATAATCAAGCTTAACCTTCTGCTCCAAGACAATCATACCCACCAGGCTTTCAGAATCAAGCTCCACAGCAAGAAAAGAAGCCAAATTTAGAGGAGTTGTTTTCCAGGTACATAGCACAGAGTGAGACAATGATGAACAGTATGGATGTATCGATCCAAAACCTAGAAAACCAAATGGGTCAGCTTGCTAATGCCATTAACAACCGACCTCAAGGCACTCTACCTAGGGATACAGAGATCAATCCTAAGAGGGAATGTAAGGAGCACTACAATGCTATTATATTACGAAGCGGAATAGAGTTACTTTTGGTTGTTAGTGGAACTCTAAAACAATCACATGAAGATGATACTAAGGGTAGAAAAATAAAAGATAGCAAGAATGTGGAACATGAAAAGAAAGAAGAAGATCTAGTTGCATGTTCTAATGGAGGTGAGCAGAGTCCTATTGTGCCTCCCGTGCCGTTTCCACAACGTTTGCAGAAACAAAAGTGGGATAAGNAATCAAGCTTAACCTTCTGCTCCAAGACAATCATACCCACCAGGCTTTCAGAATCAAGCTCCACAGCAAGAAAAGAAGCCAAATTTAGAGGAGTTGTTTTCCAGGTACATAGCACAGAGTGAGACAATGATGAACAGTATGGATGTATCGATCCGAAACCTAGAAAACCAAATGGGTCAGCTTGCTAATGCCATTAACAACCGACCTCAAGGCACTCTACCTAGGGATACAGAGATCAATCCTAAGAGGGAATGTAAGGAGCACTACAATGCTATTATATTACGAAGCGGAATAGAGTTACTTTTGGTTGTTAGTGGAACTCTAAAACAATCACATGAAGATGATACTGAGGGTAGAAAAATAAAAGATAGCAAGAATGTGGAACATGAAAAGAAAGAAGAAGATCTAGTTGCATGTTCTAATGGAGGTGAGCAGAGTCCTATTGTGCCTCCCGTGCCGTTTCCACAACGTTTGCAGAAACAAAAGTGGGATAAGGAGTTCTCTAAATTCATGGAAGTGTCTAAGAAGCTCCAAATAAATATCCCTTTAGCAGAAGCAGTGGAGAAAATGCCTAACTATGTGAAATTTTTAAAGAAAATTTTGTCAAAGAAGAGAAAATTAGGTGATTTTGAGACAGTGGCACTAACAGAGGAGTGCAATGCTATTTTTTTAAAAGAAGTTACCACCAAAGCTAAAAGATTCGGGTAGCTTTATAATTCCATGCACAATAGGCAGTTAATTTTTTGGGAAAACATTATGTGACTTGGGAGTTAGTATAAACTTGATGCCGCTCTCAATTTATCAGCAATTGGGAAGCAAAGCCTACTGACATCACATTGCAGCTTGTAGATAGATCACTCACTTATCCAAGGGGTATAGTTGAGGACGTTCTAGTTAAAGTGGATAAGTTCATTTTTTCAGCTGATTTCATAGTCTTAGATTGTGAGGAAGATAGAAAAATACCTATTATTCTTGGGTGACCATTCTTAGCAACAGGGAGAACACTTATCAATGTACAAAAAGGTGAGCTAACTATGCGAGTCCAAGATCAAGAGGTTACATTCAATGTATTTTTAGCTATGAAATTTTCAAAGGAATCGAAAGAATATTTTCGGGTTGATTTGGTAGAAGATTCAGTGAATGGGGTATTCATAGGAAGTGGTATTTCAGATCCTCTTGAGAACGGCAAGCTATATAAAGATGAGGTGTTCCCGCAGGGAGCGGCTGAAGTCAAGGAAGCCAATTCGAAAAGAACTTTCAAGGAGAACGGATAGAGACTAAAGCAATATTGGGGCGGCGACATTGATCATGAAAAGACCTCAATTACTCATGTCGACCCAGGATGAAACAGGAAGTAGTCAGGTTGAAGACTATAAAATAAGCGCTAATTGGGAAGCAACCCAAATTTTAGTTTCTAATTTTTATTTTATTTTATTCTAATTTAGTTTTTTATAAGAAATAATGTAGTTAGTTGGTTAGTTAGTGCATTTTAATTGGTATGTCAATTGCTTGCAAGTCTCAAGGATTGAACATAAAGTTGGAGCACACACAAAGCCCTACTAGGAGCCAAGAACAGCCCACCTATGTTTCCCGAATACACTCCTGACTTAGCGGATGATGAAGATGTTGACGATGATGCCAATTAGCGAAGTCTTAGGGAAGTCCTCTGTCTTAATTTGTCCAATTTTATACATTGAGGACAATGTTTAGATTAAGTTTGGGGTGTTTTCTTATTTTCATTTACATTATTAGGTATGCATTTAGATAGCATATTTTGCACTTAAATAACATGTTTTAGTACGACTTGAGCAATGAGTTGATTGAATTACATCATGGCCAATGATGAATGGAATTAATTGTCAATTTAAGGAAAATTGATGACACATGTTGAGTCTGTAGTTTGACATACTAGTTGGTTTTACACTGTTTGTGATCCTTTCATTCATGAGCACATATCCATCTGTTTGGTTAGTTATTATTTAAAAAATTTATNGGGGGGGGGGGGGGGGGGGGGGGGGGGCGCCCCAGCGCCAAAACTGGCGCCTCTGCACCAACATTTTTTCCAAATGGTGCCCCTACATTGATTTTTGGTGCAACTACGCTTGTGTTGGTCTGTGACGCGAATTTTGATTTGTTTTTGACCCAAAATTGGACTCTAAAGCTACATATATGCTAGGGTTTGTGTGTGGATAAAATATTCTGAATTTTGGGGGCTGAAAACATCTGAAAAAGCCAAGGAATTGGAAGAAAATTGAAGACAAGAATCGAAGGAATCGACACGAAGAAGATTGGTCTTGAAGGCTAGAGAAGGATTGAAGATTGCACCTAAGTTTTCATTCTTTTCTCTTACTTTTATTTCTTGATTTTCTAAGATGTTGTTTAATTTTAAAATGATGTTTTTCAATTACATTATGAACTAATTTTCTACTAAGATTGCAATGGAACCTATGTCTAGTTAAATTAATCTACTTTCGTTTCTAGTTCTATTTATCATACATGAGTTGTTTGTCATATTTTGTGCTTAATATATGATTGCGTGGTCAACAATTAATTTGATTCCTTAGATAAAATTGGGAGATAAATTCTAGGGATAGATCTGAATATGATGACATGCGTCTGATAATTCTTCTTAGGATTGAATTGCTGGGTTTGTGTATAGGATAGAAATATACCTATATGCCGTGTGTAACTTTTATGAGAGTTTGAACTTAATGAATTTATTCCAACTTATTTTGCATTGGAATATAGTAATTTAATTGGGAGAGATAATTTAATCTAACTATCGGATGAGGTTTGATAAATAACTTGAGTTCTCAGTTAACAACTTATTTTGATCAATTGATTGGNATGCCGTGTGTAACTTTTATGAGAGTTTGAACTTAATGAATTTATTCCAACTTATTTTGCATTGGAATATAGTAATTTAATTGGGAGAGATAATTTAATCTAACTATCGGAAGAGGTTTGATAAATAACTTGAGTTCTCAGTTAACAACTTATTTTGATCAATTGATTGGAAAGAGAGTAGAAACATTTATATGAAGTATTAGGGGAAGTTGTAATATTAAATTCTTTCATTCGATAAATTCAACCCTTGATTATTTAGTTTAGATTTAGTTTTAAAGTAGTGATTTCTTAGCCAATTCCAATTGTTTAAATAAAATTGAATTGATATAAAGTTAGTACTTGTATATTATTAGTAATAATTCTCTGTGGGAACAATACTCTACTTATCACTTTATTACTTGTTGATCGTGTATACTTGCACGTAAATTGTCAATACCAAATTTGGACAATAGCATTCGAACGTGACTTGCTTCTAGTATCCTCTTTTTTGTCAGACTCTTTGTCAATAAATAAAGTATTGGGACTAACTAGCGTTCGAATGTGGTTTTTGTTCAAATGTGAGTCCAGTTTTCAACCTCCACTTTCAACAGAGTTTGTTTTTTTTTACCTACCTTCAAGTCGATTTACAAAACCTTTGTGAAATACATTTGCAGAGTAATTAGAATCTAGTTTATACTATCCAAGTCTCACATCGATACAATATTAGAACATAAAGTTATTATTGAAACTCCCAATGATATCAAGAAATTCTTGTACTACTATTGAGAATGGTCAATTTATCTCCCACTTATTTATTTCTACTCTTACAGTCTATATGATTTATTCTTACATCATTACATATTTAATTATCATAACAAAATTATGTCTTTATACTAAGATAACATGTGGGGGTTTACAATTTGGGCTTTCCTCCTTTCTCTTTTCGTCCTAACTCTCCTCCTTTATCTTTTAGCTTGNCTTTATACTAAGATAACATGTGGGGGTTTACAATTTGGGCTTTCCTCCTTTCTCTTTCCATCCTAACTCTCCTCCTTTATCTTTTAGCTTTTCATTCCTACCACTAGCCTCTCCTACACCATTCTAGATGATAAGAAGGCTTATGAGGATCAATTCCAAGTGCCACCTTATCAGCTGGAAACAAGAGATGCAAAGCTCATAACAGTTCTGGAGGACATTCTAAGGCTAATGAAAGAGGTTGAGAAGACCCTTGGGTGCCTTTTTGCTGATGAGAAAGACTGGGATAAGGTCTTGAAGACCAAGAATAAGCTACTAGCTAAGCTAAACAACTCCAAGGCAGAGTCCACTGAGCTATCTATAAGGGGCAAGGAGCTAGAAGAAGATAAGGAAAATCTTTCTCAAAAAGTCCTTGACCTCTCCTTTAAGCTGGAACAAAAAGAGCTTGAAGTTGAGTTTACTAGAGAGACTGTAGTAGCAAAATATCAGGACTCCAATGAATTTAAGGAGGAGATTCTTGAATACTATGTGGATGGCTTTGAAGACTTTTGGAAGTGATCCCATAAGAAATTTCCTAGCTTTGACTTCTCCAAATTCACACCTAGAGATGATGCAACAATTATGTCTAGGGGAGACAAGAAGGAAGAGGATGGGGAAGAGGTGAGCAATAAGCCTCCCATATACAAGGAGGAAGGGGAGTGTGTCAAGGCAGCTATTAAGGAGTTAACTGTGTTGACTGAAGAGATCGTAGGGGATACTACCGACCTAGTAGAAGAGGATAAGGGAGTTGAGGTGCCCAAGGAGGCTACTACAGATGCTGATCTATCAAAGCAGATCGAAAAGACGGTCTAACTAAACAAAGTTGTAGCCTCCTTGTCTTATAGTCCTCTTTTGTAATGATGTAAATCCCTTTTTAATGACAAGCTTATTTTGCATAGCCTTCATGTTATGCTTTGTTTCATTTTCTTGTGTTCAATTTCTTGAGGTGGTGTTGGTTAACTTGAATCTTTCTACTTTTGTGTGGAGGATTTTGGACACTATCTGGGCAAGATTTCATGGCTTGCGTTACTGTAGTGCTTCTTAGATTTAATTTGAGCTAGGATTAATGCTTTGCACTTTGGTTGGGCCTCATGGACTCAATCTGTGTTAGGTTTAATGCCTTAATCTTCTGTTAAGCCTCTTAGATTCAATTTGAGCAAGGACTAATGGGGAGTTGAAGAGCCCATTATCATAAAAGGAGGTTAAATCAATTGGATTGCTTCTTTAATGATGTTGAAAAAACATGCATATGATAGTTACAAACTATTAGAGAAGTCAAGCCATTAGGAAGTATGGTTGGTGTCGTTTCATTCCCACAATGCCATGAACTCGGAGCAGTAAGTGATTTTGGTGCATGTCTTTTGCATTGATTGCCATTTATAGGAATGAATCATCATCTTGGGATTTCTATTTAAACCATCTCCTTTGAGTCTTTTCATACACTTTCTTCTTTTTCTAGCATCCCCTTATAGCTTGTAGTCCCATTTCTCCTCTAGCTATAGATGCTACTTTATGACAGACATAAATTAAACTCTTCAAAAGACAAGCCCTTCAAGATATGGAGGGTTCTGTTTGGGCCAACCTTTTAGTGCCAAGTGAGATGACCATAGACCATTTGGTAGGCATCAGGGAATGTTTTGGTTTCCTTGTTGGTGTTTTGGTCCATGTCCCCTTTTTAGACTCTCTATGTAGCTTTTTTTTGGTGAGAAGAGTCTACTTCTTTGAATACGCATTCGAGGTTGGTCTTCAGTTTTCTCTTCCCCCTTTTATCAAGATTGTTCTTAATTTTTTCAACTTATGTCTGGCTTATCTCTCAATGGAGGGATGGGGCATCTTGGCTGGCATTCTCATTTTTGGGCATTTGCACGAGATAGGAAACTCTCCTATTGTGATCAACTTTATCGACCTTTTTCNCAAGATTGTTCTTAATTTTTTCAACTTATGTCTGGCTTATCTCTCAATGGAGGGATGAGGCATCTTGGCCGGCATTCTCATTTTTGGGCATTTGCACGAGATAGGAAACTCTCCTATTGTGATCAACTTTATCGACCTTTTTTGATTGACTCTTCCCCCTCTAGCTTCTATCAATTTGTCACGAGAAATGAGGCACTTGAGTTGATTTCTGATCTCTTTACTCCTTCTGCTGATTAGAAGAGTAGTTTTTTCTTTGTTTTAGGGACATCTGGGAGTTTGAGGGAGTTGCAATAAAGGCCCTTTGTGTTCCCCAACTTTGGGATGCCCCCTCCAAATGAGTAAGCAAAGGTGCTCTTCGTCATTTCTCTGTATGAATTCAGCTTCATTTTGTTTACTATTCCTTAACTAACTATTCTTGCAGGAGAGTGGCCTCCATTAGGACCTTCCTTATTGGAGGAACAGAACCCAGGAGGAAGGAAATAGTATATCTTTTTTCTTTTGTGAAATAGAAATCATTTTGTAATCATCGTAGCTTCACCCTTGTATAACTTATCCTCCCTTTAACTTCTAGAACTCAAATATGCCTAACATTAGCAGGGCCCTATAACCATAAAGGGATGAGTAGAGTCCTATGCCTCTATTGAGTCATTTAGTGCTCAATTTGGGCTAGGCTATAAGCTTAAGAGCTCACATGTGCTTCTGTTAAGCCATTTGGACTCAATCCAATCTACGCTTGGGGCTGTAGATATAGAATATGCTTTTGTTGAGCCATTTGGACTCACTCTGAGCTATACTTGGTGCTGTAAAGCTAGCATACGCTTTTGTTGAGCCATTTGGACTTAATTCGAGCTATGCTTGAGTTGTAGAGCCAGAATACGCTTCTGTTGGGCCACTTGGAATCAATCTGAGATATGCTTAGTGTCTTGCTCATTTTGGGGTAGTGGAGAAATGTCCCTCTCCACTTCCTTAGATAGGAATGAGTGTCTATAAGTGCTAAGAATGTTCTTAACAATAGTGGTCATTGTGAATGACATTCTTTATTGAAAGGCCATAATAAATCGCTTTTATTTGGAACTAGCTATAATAAAAAGTTAAACTTCTTACTAACTTGGATGCAAAAAAGACTATTGATAAAATTTCTTCAAATGTTCTTCATTCCATGAGTGTGGTTGCTTGACACCTTCTAAAGTTTCCAAGTGATAAGTTCTTGGTCTCAGGATCTTTATAACTCGATAGGGCCCTTTTGATGTTGCCCCCAAATTTCCTTCTCTGGGATCTTTGATAGCTTGAGTTGCCTTCTTCAAGACGAGGTCGTTCAGTAGGAATTCTCATGGCTTGACTCAGGAATTTTAATACTAGATATGCTGCTACTCTTATCTTGGATTCCTCCCTTCTTTCTTCTAGCGAGTCCAGGTTATTAGCAAGTTGTCGGTTATTTGACACAGGGTCAAACTCCTTAGTTTGGTAATTGGTCATCCCAATTTCCACTAGGATAACTACCATGGTACCAAAAGCCAAGGAGAATGGGGACTTCCTAGTAGTTGTCCTAATTGTGGTCCTGTACGCCCATAAGATGCTTGGAAGCTGCTTCACCCAAAGTCCTTTAGATTGTTCCAACCTAGTTTTTATGCTCTTGAGCAGAGTTCGAATGGTTACCTCTACTTGTTCATTTGCTTGTGGGTGATCGGGAGAGGAATAGTGATTATAGATTTTAAGCTCAAAGCAAAATCCTTTGAACTTATATATCAAATTGTTTACCGTTACCGCAGATGATGGCAGTTGAGATGCCAAACTTGCAAACAATTGACTTCCACATGAAACCCTAAATCTTCTGTTCAGTAATTATTGCCAGTGGTTCTGCCTCTGCCTATTTGGTTAAGTAGTCTATGGCAATAACTATAAACTTGTTCAGTCCCTTTCCCATCAGAAGAGGTCCCATAATATCAATACCCCATTGGGCGAATGGCCATGGGCTCACTATGGGGGTGAGCTTTACTAGGGGAAGATTGATGAATAGTTAAAATTAGCATCTTACTATGCTTTTACAAGACTAATTATGCTTTGAGAGAGTTTAAATGATGACATTTTAGGAAAAATTTGTACAAAAGCCTAAAGTCAATGAATACCAAACTTTCAAGCAACACCCACATTTTATGGAAGAGAATTGGAGAAGGGGAAGCAAAACTAACACATTCGAATGCCAATCCACATTCGAACGCCATCCTGAATTATTTGAGGACCTCCAGATCATTGTTAGGGTGATGGTACGTGGCATGTTGTAGCTATTCCTTGAGAAGAAGAACAAAAATAACTACTTGAGTACAAAGTTCGAACGCCAAACAACATTTGAATGCCCTCTTGAATTATTTGAGGACAACCAGAGGACTGCTAGGGTGATGAGACATGGGTTGTTGAACTCCTATCTATTGTAGGTGACAAGAGCTACTTAAGTACCACATTCAAACTCCAGTTAGCGTTTGAACACCCACTACAGAAGACAGGAGTCAACGTTTGAACGCCATTCAACATTCGAACGTACTCCCCAGATAGAATGCAGAGTGATTGATTTTCCATCCGGATCTTGGGGCATTCACTTGGACTTTGCAGACTTTGAACTATTCTTTTACTCTTCTTTACCCTCTCCTCCTTGCCTATAAATACCTCCATTGTTGGAGCTTCATGGGGGGACTTGCACTTAGATACAGATAGACATACATAGAGAGAGATAGACCATCTTTTGGTTGAGGAGGAAACCCTCCAAAGGTGACTAGCTTTTTACTTTCATTATTAGTTTCATTAGCTTCCATTGTTTGAGCTTCTCTCTTCCCTTAGAGGAGTGAAACTCTTCCACTTTTCTAGCTTGCTCAAAGCCTTGGAGGGTGGAAAGTAATTCACTCATTCTTTGTTGAAGATAGGCTCCTTGTGTAATGTATTTTACCTTGTAACTCCTCTACTTGGAAGGATGAGAATCACTCACTTTTCTAGCTTTCTCAAAGCCATGAAGAATTAGTAGTTTCTCATTCACTCTTTAGTAAGAGGTGATGAACATGTATAAATTATTTGAAAATTTATATTTGTGCATNATATGCTGCTACTCTTATCTTGGATTCCTCCCTTCTTTCTTCTAGCGAGTCCAGGTTATTAGCAAGTTGTCGGTTATTTGACACAGGGTCAAACTCCTTAGTTTGGTAATTGGTCATCCCAATTTCCACTANCCTCCCTTCTTTCTTCTAGCGAGTCCAGGTTATTAGCAAGTTGTCGGTTATTTGACATAGGGTCAAACTCCTTAGTTTGGTAATTGGTCATCCCAATTTCCACTGGGATAACTACCATGGTACCAAAAGCCAAGGAGAATGGGGACTTCCTAGTAGTTGTCCTAATTGTGGTCCTGTACGCCCATAAGATGCTTGGAAGCTGCTTCACCCAAAGTCCTTTAGATTGTTCCAACCTAGTTTTTATGCTCTTGAGCAGAGTTCGAATGGTTACCTCTACTTGTTCATTTGCTTGTGGGTGATCGGGAGAGGAATAGTGATTATAGATTTTAAGCTCAAAGCAAAATCCTTTGAACTTATATATCAAATTGTTTACCGTTACCGCAGATGATGGCAGTTGAGATGCCAAACTTGCAAACAATTGACTTCCACATGAAACCCTAAATCTTCTGTTCAGTAATTATTGCCAGTGGTTCTGCCTCTGCCTATTTGGTTAAGTAGTCTATGGCAATAACTATAAACTTGTTCAGTCCCTTTCCCATCAGAAGAGGTCCCATAATATCAATACCCCATTGGGCGAATGGCCATGGGCTCACTATGGGGGTGAGCTTTACTAGGGGAAGATTGATGAATAGTTAAAATTAGCATCTTACTATGCTTTTACAAGACTAATTATGCTTT